GTGGGGAAGCCTTGCTGCTGCCACCCAGCTTTCTCTTTCCTTCCTCTTGGATGCTTTTTGTTCTTGCCTCCCGTGTTTCTGGCTGGGAGCTCTTGAGGGCCTCTTTACCCTGTTGCTCTGGGGCAGACCCTGCCTGTGAGGGCCAACTTCTTCCCCTTCCAGTAGCCGTTGTCTGGTGGAAACTCGAGTGGCCATGGGCTCACCAGCCTCCTGACTGCTTGATCTGCAGGTTAATTGCTGCCCACCCTTTTTCTTGCTCTCACCTAATGTCCAGGTGGGATTTTAAAGTCTGCATTGGTTGTAATAACAGTTATCAGTAATTCCTGCCCAGAAGACTTTTTATTTATTTTTTTTAAGATAAAAACTGCATAAAAGGGGAGTGAGAGAGACTAGTTTCCACTTCCCTCCTTTAGTGAGTCCTTGTGGGTGTGTGCTGGGTGGGTGAGTGTGGACGGGGGACCCACAGTCATTTCTCTTTGGAAGTAAACCTCAGTGCCTGAGACTTTTCTGCCAAGCCGCACAGCTGCGACACCTGCAGACACGGGCGGTCCGAGCAGGAGGGCAGTGGTGGTTCCCACCAAGTAAGCGGCCCCTCCAGATGGCCAATGCTGCTGACCAGGCCTGCATCGGGTGAGCTGGTTGCCGGGGACTGGAAGCTCTGGTCTCTTTCGCCATCCCTTCCCATTGCCCCGCCCAGCCCCTGGCCTTTGGCACAGTGACAAGGCCATTGAGACGGGCCTGGGTGAGGGAGTAGGGGCTTGGCCTGTCATAAGGGTCATGTGGCATTGCTGTGGGGGCATCGGAAAGTTGATACTATGCTGACAGTGTGAGGTCTGGGCTAGCCCAGGACAGAGGTCGTGATTTGACCATACCCATGTGCTCTGGGTTCCCCACATTTCCTCTGTGGCCAGGCTATGGTCTGGCCCTTCCCCAGGGAGTTGTGGGCATCCTGATGCCTCTTTGCCTTAATGAGAGCCGTATCTCTGAGCTGCACTGCACCCCCCAGGGAGGCCGGCCCAGACACATTCTGTGCTTGGGGACTTCAAGTCTCTGGTGTGGGGGTTGGGGGCAGGCCTATGTGACCCTCCCTTACCTTTGGCACTGTGGACAGAGAACACGTGCATGTTGGCTTCTCCTGTGGTGAGTGCTGTGCCTGGCATCTTCAGGTCCACCTGGCGGGGGACACCAAATGAGAGACACAGACTTGTCTGCTCTTGGGGCCAGTGGCCCATTGGGTTGGGTCTGGCTGCGGCAGAGCTGTCTGTTCTGGAGGGGCAGGAGAGGCACAGAGCTGCCAGTCTCTCTCTCCCCAGCTCGTCTGTCGGCTGCCTCGTCTTGCTCCTAACAGCTGCGCCGCTGGAGCTCCAGCCTCTGTGTCACCTGGGCTCTGCGATCAGATGTCAGCCTGCAGATGGCCTGGTGTCCCCAGGCCCCGTGCTTAGTCTCTGTGTCTCCCAGTGCCGGGGTAGGGATGGAGGATGCAGATTTCTGAGAGCCCAATGCCCCCGCCCTCCAGTTCCTCCTCTGCTTGATCCACCAAGCTGGTTTCCTTTTCTCTTCAACCAGTTTTCTCCTCACTCTGAAGTTCCAGCATCTGCATAATTCCATTTGTTTCCTTTTGTCTTTCAGTTAAAGAAAAAGCATTGTGATTTCTCTGCTTCTGAGTCACTCTTTGTTCAGTAATGCACTTTATTTTATTGTCCAAAGAGAGTCTGAGCTCAGTGAAAGGGCGTGCGGGGGTGTCCTGCTGGAGGGCTTGGGCCCAGGCAGCCCAGCCACCACCTCTTGCACAGGGGAGGGGCTCCCCAGCCCTACCTGCGTCCTACCTGCCCTCACGTGGACACACCCTCTCATGCCACCAGGCACCATAACCCAGCGAGAGGTGACTGACTGCACACTTGCCCGGGTGAACACAGCCGGCCGCCTCGGCCTCCTCCCACCAGTCTGCCCTGGTGCTCCCGCCTTGGCTCTGCTTGGGGCTCGAAGTGTGCATCGGCTGGGTTTGCGTTAGCGTTACCTGGACTCCAGCCCTGCAGTGGAACTAATAAAAGCACCTGAAGTGACTGCCGAGCTCCCCGTCTGTCTTTCCTGGGCCTCGAGGCCTCTCCCTGCGCGCTGAGCCTTTGTCTGCAGGTCAAGTGGTGTCTGCTGTATGTCGGCTGACTGACAACTTTCCTCCACATGTCACTGTCCTCCCCTGATGTATTTGGACAATTGATTTGAAGGGTAGGGCCCCACTCCCCTGCCTGGGCTCCTTGGCAGTGTGCTTCCAGCACAACGTCTGGGTGGAAGAGGAGAGCCTGGGCTCCCTTTCTGCGCCTTCCCCGCCTGTCAGCCATGTGGCTGCTCCTGGGCCTCTGCATGGTGAAGCAGGTGCAACTGACAGGCAGCAGATGAAGCATGAAGTCCGGAAGCCCCCAGACTCCACAGGTGTCGGGTGCGAGGCCTGGAGGTGACATGCTGCCTCACCTGAATGACCTTGTCTGGTGACAGCCAGAAGGCACCCCTCTGATGTTTGGGTGCCAGCCTCCACACACACCTTTCAGCACCACTCTGTCCTCCAGCTGGGTGATTCATTGCTCCCTGAATCAGTACATAGGAACACCTCACGTGGATGTCTGAGGGGCCCTGGGGTGAGGCAGGCCCCAGCCTTGCTTCTGGACTGTAGGGTGGGCGGGCCGTCAGCACCTGCCTCCAGTCTCAGTCCTGTCCCTGAGACTTTCTGCTTTCAACAGCAGTGCAGTTCACACTATCAACCACAGCTCCCAAGTTCAGGTTTTATTGTCATGCTGGGCCCTTGGTGCATCTTAGGCTGCTGAACTTGGTTCCATGAAGTGATACGGTTCTGGGACCCCCCCCCCACCACACCCCAAGAAATCAAGCAAATGGAGTGTACTGCTTGGAAATAGAATTCTGGGGTCCTACCCCCTCTTTGCTGGCACGTTCGACCTGTTGGCAGGCTACGCCACCTGTGAGAAGTACATGGCACAGCCTGCAACTTCCCTGCACGCCCCGTGCTTTCTCCCCCGAGTCCAGTGGCGCAGTTTGTCCTTAGGGTGATTACGCTGCCTCCAAACTTGGCATTACTGGCTGTCAGCAATGTGCTCTGCTGTCTCAGGTTTCCCACTAGGAGTGTGCACCTTGCACACCCATGTGAGAGGCCCCCTCACTCTGCATCATCCGTTAGCCATCTGAGTGGGCCTTCAGCCCTTTATTCATGTCTGTAACCTCCAGGGATCGGCACTCAAGGCCCCCCTGTGTTGAGATAGGCTGTTGATGATCATAAATCCTTGTATCGCAGAGTGGGGCTTGCCTGGCCTTGGGGCCAGGAGCCTGCTAGCCCCCCTGAACAGAAGGAAGTGGGACAGAGGAGTGACCCAACTTAACAGTGCCTGCAGGGTCGTCCTGGCCAGTCAGGGCTGAACCTGCTCAGCCCATCCTCTCCCAGGTGGTCCTCCCCACATGGTCATTTTCTCTAGGATGATCCTGGTGTATTTCCCTCAGTGTTGGAAAACAGCCTCGGAGGAGTGGGATGGGAATTAGTGTGAGCATGTGGCTCCCAAGGATTGGTGGCCAGAAAACCAGCCAAGAACACTTGTGCACTGGGCGGGGGGAAATTCAGAGTGATACGTTGCTTGAAAGCAGCATGTCCTCTTCCTAATTCCAAAGGCCAAGTAGGAGTGGGTCCTCCTCATTCCTCCATGGCCCTCTCCTCCTGTCCCAGCAGCCAGGACAGTGTTTCCAGCCTAAACATCTGGGAGCAGGAGGGACAGACAACAGACTGCAGATGCCCACTCAAGTTGTATCCAACCAGCATCCAGGAGCAGTGGGACCGTGGCTGTCCGCTGCCCTAGAGATGAGGGCCCACCTCAACCTCAAGGAGAGGGGTTGGAACTTGTGCTACTGGTTCTTTGTGTTTCGGTAGGCACACCAGCCTCTGTGATGTCAGGGTGACTTCCAAACGCAGAAGACATTTGGCAGCTGGATGCCTGGCCATGCCCCCCAGAGGCCTCTGGCTCATGGGCGTCGGGTGTTAGAGATTCCCGGATTGGCTTCTCAAAGGAGAGGGGGCGGGTCTTTCACTTTGTAAGCAGGGACGCTCTGGATCTCCCAGTCTCTCCTCCAGAGCTCTTGTTCCCTCTCTGGTTAGCGCCTGTCTCCAAAATGCTAGAGGATGTGGAGAAGGAGCAGCCCCAGTGGGAAGGAGAGGTGTCTTGCCCTGGCTTCACCCTCACCCCCAGCTGATTGCTGGTGAGCCGCCCCGTCCCGAGGCCCAGTCTGTCAGTTTTTTACGGTCCTCTGCCCCCAGCCCAGAATTCTTCCAGCTTACCATTTGTCCCCATTGTCCAGTCGAGCCAACACACCCATGGACAGCTAATATTCAGGCATGGAGAAAGGTGACACTTCTGTTCATGTTTCTCTCACCCCCGCAGTGTCCTGAGGAAGGGGCGGCTCAGCAGCTCAGAGCAAGGAGACCCGTCCCTAGGGCGAGAGTGCCGTGCGCCCCCTTCTTGGACTCCTCCGCAGAATTCAACAGTTCCCCGAAACCCTAGAAAATCGGCTGCTCCGAGAAGACGCGTTCTGCTGGGCGCAGGGGCCCCGCCCCCGCCCTGGGGGAGCCCGCGGACTGGCCGGGTCCCGGAGCTTGCCATGCTTTAGGACGCACGAGCGAAGCGCACGCCCCGCACGGGCGTGGGAGGTGCTGCAGACCCGCAGGGTCTTCCAACAAGGCGCCTCGGGCCGCTCGGAGGACGGACTGGGTGGACCAGCGCAGGCCCGTGGTTTCCCGCGTTGCCTTTAAACACGTCGGCTCTTTCCTAGCTGTTCTGCGTCCACTAGCATGATCGCAGGGGCGTGGCCTTCCAGCCCGCCGGCTAGGGATCCAGCGGGGACCCGCCTCCCGGAGAACAGCCGCGGAGTCCGGGCCCCGCCCCCGCCTCGGCCACGCCCCCGCCTCGGCCCGCCGCCCAGCTTTACGGCGGAGGACGCGCCGCGACGTGGGCGGCCGTGAAGCGCCCCCGCCCCACCCCCGGCATCAGCGTCCCGGAGCGGAGCGGCCTCCCGGCGCCTCCCGCGCTACCCGAGCCGCAGGCCCGCACGATGGCCGACCTCGCGCCGCAGGTTAACTACCTGGCGGGCTTCTGCTGCCCGCTCGGGGGCCTGGCGGCGGGCAAGCCCCGCGTGCTGTGCCTCGGGGCGGAGATCTTCCTGTCCACCGGGAGCGAGCTGGTCTACGTCTACGACCAGGAGGCGGGGCTGCTGACCGTGAGCGCTCGGCCGGGGAGGGAACGGCGGGGGTCCCGGGCGCGGGGAGGGAGGGGGTCGCGGGCCTGGGCCAGGGAGGCGCGGGGTTCCCCGGGCGGGGCTGAGGGGCGGAGCTCCCGCTTCCTTCCGAGGGGCTGGCGCGTTTGAGGAGTTCGTTTAAAACTAAGGGCTCCGTGCTGTCGTCTGCCCCCACGCTGTCCAGGCGGTGTACAGGTTTCCGGGTCAGGTGTGGCACCTGGAGCTTCTGGCCCTTCGCAGGGCGCTTTACGTCCTGTGCGCCCACAGGGGCATCTACTGCATGTCGTTGGACCAGGCGAGCAGGTGAGGATGGTCGCTGGGCGGCACCACTTTGGGCGAGTCCAAATGGTCTCTCTTTGGTGGAGGCCGACCTGGCCTCAGATGAGCTCGCTGTCTCTGATCCGTGGCCGCCCTGCTCTGCTCCGACGCTACCCCTGCGATCTGTACGTTTTGCTTGCTGCTGGATTGGGTTCAGAATGAGCACTCCCCAGCATGGGGCTCAGGTTCGGTTCTGAAGCCTTCGGTGTCCCGGCCAGCCCACAGCACTTGCCTTCTCTAACAGGTTCCTGCTTGCGGAGAATCCTTAGTAAATGGGGTTCAGGCAGCCAAGTCTGCAGCTCGGAGCAGGACCCTGCCCCTTTGGTCCTGTCCCTTGTGTCATGACACACCTTCCAGTGGGTCTCTGGTTGGTAGTCATGGCAAAAGCACCATGAACCCCAAGTCAGTGGTTAGAGAAGCCCAATGTGGAGGAGCCAGGCCCCTCCCAGGCACCAGTGCAGCGCCTTCACACGGCGCCTGCTCACTACTGGCTTAGGACAGAAAGAGGTAGCCAGTGTGAATCACAGATGAGGCCTCAGGGGTCAAACAGTTTTGCACTGATGAGAATTTTTTGTCCACACTCCATTTCTGGAAGCCTTGGTACATCCTGTTATGTGTGTCCCTGGGTGACTGGTGCCAAGTGGAACAGTCCTTGGGGCAGGTGGGAGGCAGTGTGGCAGGCAGGCTGCTCCCTGGGGAGCCTTCCTCACAGTGCTGAGGGGCTGTGACGGTCCCTGAGATCACTCTCTCTGAAGACCCCAGACCCAGCGTGCTTGGTGGTGGGTTGTCTTGAAGAGTGCGTGAAGGTCGTGATGGGTAGTTCCCTGTGTTCTCGCAGGTCTGTGAGCCAGGATGACGGGGACGATGGGGACAGTGAGGACAGTCAGGACGGTGAGTCCCCTTCCCGTATGATCCCTGTGGATCCAGACGCCTGTGTCCTCCATGATGCCACGCTGTGCACTTTCACCGTGCTCGACAATTTGCTCATCACCTTAGCACAGGGCCCCGCCCGGTGGAAGGTGCAGCTGTTCGAGTGTCCCTGTCCAGGAGAGGACCCCCTGCTCAAAGGCCAGATCGGTGAGGTGGAGTTGTCCACCCCCCCAGCTGGGAGTCCGAGAGAGCCTGCAGCCCCCTACTTCCTCCCAGTGCTGTGCTGCATGTCACCGCCAGGCTCCAGAGTCGCACACAGCCACCTGCACGGCTCCAGGGGCTTCACGCTGGAGGAGACCCTCTTTGGGCTACTCTTTGGAACTGATGCCTCCCTCCTGGAGTCACCCGTGATCCTCTGTGGTCTCCCCGATGGCCAGCTTTGCTGTGTGGTCCTGCAGACCCTGGTCACCTCTGGGTTGGCCCCTGGTGACTCGAAGGCTCTTGTCAAGATCCTCCATCACCTGGAGGAGCCCGTCGTCTTCATTGGGGCCTTGAGGACAGAGCCACTGGCTGAGGACGTGGAAGACTCACACTCCGACTGCCTGGTGGCACTTGGTCATCATGGCCGGACACTGGCTGTCAAGGCCAGCTGGGATGAGGCTGGGAATCTGGTGCCAGAGCTGCGGGAGTACTGCCTCCCGGGGCCTGTGCTCTGTGCAGCCTGCGGCGGGGGCGGCCGCATGTACCACAGCACCCCCTCGGACCTCTGTGTGGTAGACCTGGCTCGGGGAGGCACTCCCTGGGACCCCATGCAGCCGGACACGGGCCCAGGAGGCTTGCCCTCTCTGCTGTGTCCAGCGAGCTTGAGTGTCTGCAGCGTCGTCACCCTGTCTGTGTCGTCTAGGGCACCTGAAGGTACGAGCCACTGTTGAAACTTGGAAAACCAACGTCTCAGAGTGGCATCCTTCCTCTGGCATCCTTCTCCCCTGTGAACTTGCTCGTCCTCCCCTCCGCGTCTCGTTCCTGTCTTCCCTAAACCTGACAGAGGCGGCTTCCTCTCACCTGGGTAGCCTCGTGGTTGATACGTCCTGTCTTGGCGTCAGGGGGTGCCTGGTTGTATGTGTCCTGTGTGGGTTTAGGAGCAGGAGGTGTGCTGCAGGAGGTGTGCTGCTCTGCCTAGATGGGGTCTGCACCTGGGTGACCCTGGGGTAAGGGCGTCTCTCCATGACAGGTCTTACGTCGCGGGTAGTGCAGGGGAAATTCGAATTGGTTCAGGTCAAGCCTTACATTCTTCCAAAGGTCAGAACACACCTGCTCCACTTACACGTGGCTGTGAAGGAGCCACCCTGCCTGGAGGGAAGGTGGGCAGGCTGCACCCAGAGCTCCCGGCGTATGCTGTCCCCAGACAGAGCCACGGAGCGTTTTAGCTGTGCTTACCCAGTGCCGGGGGAGAGGGTAGAGCCGCCCTCCCCGCCCGTGAGTGTGCCGTGGGCCTGCCCTGCACCACAGTCCACATACAAGAAATGCTTAAAGGGGAAAGTCCACTGTCCGTCCCATGGGGGAAGAAGACCGCAGGGACAGCAGGGAATGGAAGGGCATAGAGAGCCCACCTGGGCATGTGCCTGTCAGCTCAGGGAGGGGCCTGCCTGTCGGGCTGTTCCTCCTGGGGTGGGGTCAGGGCCTCCACGCTATTGGGCCTGGGGGACAAGCGAGGTCGCAGGAGATAAAGCCTGTGTCCTGGAGAGCTCCCTGGTAACCCAGGAGCGGGAGAGAAGGCAGAATGACGCTAGAGAGGCGGGGGCTTCCAGAAAGGCCCCAGTGGGAGCAGAGTGAGTGCAAGGCGCCTGCCCAGCACTCTCTTCTCTTTGGAAACTTCGGGGCAGCTTTGTTCCAGGTGGCCTGTTGGAGGTCAAGCACGCCCAGCTGACATGGTGGCCTTTTAGTCCCATCCGTGTGAGATGTGCCCAGATACCACCGAGGGCCGCCTCTGTGGCGCTGGCACCCCAAACGGGCCCTTGGGAGCATGTGTTGGGTGAGCGTGGGCAGCGGCTCCACCCAGCCTCTGGCGCCTGTCTGGGCTCTTCGGGGCGTCTCTTCAGGGATGGCTCCAAGGACCCTCTCTTTCTCACTCGGGCACTGACCTTCTGCCAGCACTGGTCTTGCATCCCAGGGGCACTGCTGGGTGCTCCCAGCAGCATGCCGCTCCCGCCTGCCGACCAGGCCCTGCATGTGTCCATTTTCAGGTGGCACTGAGCTCTTGGCCCTGTCTGCCAAAGGCCGCCTGATGACCTGCAGGCTGGACCTGAACTCTGAGACGCCTTCCCCTACCAGAGTGACCGCAGCAAACACTGGCCGAAAAATCAAGGAATTGCTCTCTGGAATTGGCACCGTCTCTGAGAGGTGAGCAGCTGCTCTGCGGCTCGGGCTGAGGCTGGTGCTATGTCCTCAGATGACTGTGTCCGAGGTGGTGGCATCCTGGGTGATGGTCTTGGTCCTGGCCAGGCCTTTTCCTTTGCGTCTGGTCCCCAGCAAGAACCCAGACATCGCATCGCCTGGTGAAAGGCTGCGCTAAAGGCCGGCTGCCTCGTGAGTCGAAAGGGACCTCCATCTTCTCCGACTGCTCCATCTTTTCCCTGTAGGGGCGTAGGGGGCTGCCCGTGCCGATTCTTCAGCCCTCCCCCTGGACCTCCTCTCCTCCCTGCTCTCAGTGAGGGCACCAGCAGCCCTTCTCTCTGACCTGTTCAGAGAGAGAGCAGCTCCTCTCGCTGCCCTCACCTGCCCTCCACGGGCCCGAGGGAGCTTCTGGAGCTCCAGGCGCCTGTGGCTGACAGCTGTTTCTGTAGCGCCTGCCATCCTCCAGGCTATCGTGGTGGTGCTGCTGGGGAGCAAAGGGGCCAACTTAGCAGCTAGCCCCCCCCACCCCTGACCCCAGGCCTCACCTGGCTCGCGTTGTCCTGACCGGGGTGGCAGGCTCCATGAGCTTGCTAGGCTAGGCCAGGCCCGCGAGCACAGGCTGCACCAGCTTTGTCCTCTGTCTTCTGTCCTCCTGCTGCCCAAGAGGAGCGGTTGGGTCAGATAGCTGGCAACAGCTTCAAAACGGTTTGGCATGAGCAGGACAAGGAGAGCTGCTCTCTGGGGCGGGGACTTATTCCTCACTTGGTGCTTTTCAGGGAGCCAAGTTCTGGTTCCTTCTGACCCTGGGGCTAGGGGACATTGCACCCACCACAGTGGCTTCTTGCCCTTCCCTTGGGTGGCACATCTGCTCTTTTCAGAGTGTCTTTTCTGAAGAAGGCAGTTGACCAGCGGAACAAGGCTCTGATGTGCCTCAATGAAGCCATGAACGTGAGCTGTGCCCTGCTGTCAAGCCGGGAGGGCCCCAGGCCCATCTCCTGTACCACCACCACCACCTGGAGCCGCCTGCAGCTGCAGGACATGCTTATGGCCACCTGCCTGCTGGAGAACAGCAGCGACTTCAGCCTGGACCGGGGCTGGGCCTTGTGCATCCAGGTGCTCACCAGCTCCCGGGCCTTGGAGCTGGACTCGGCCAGCTCAGCGGTCACCTACACCATCCCCGTGGACCGGCTCGGCCCTGGCAGTCGGCGGGAGGTGACGCTGCCCCTGGGCCCTGGCGAGGACGGCATGCTCGATCTGCCTGTGACCGTGTCCTGTGCACTCTTCTACAGCCTCCGGGAGGTCGTGGGCGGGGCCCTCACCCCCTCAGACTGTTCCAAGGACCCCTCCTTGGATATGTGCCCCCTTGATGTCCTGCCTGAGCAGGAGGGCATCTGCCTGCCCCTGAGTGAGCACACGGTGGACATGTTGCAGTGTCTGCGCTTCCCCAGCCTGGCCACACCCCACATGCAGGCCCCCAGCCTGCTCAGCCCAGTCAGTGACCCTGTGGACACCTTCCTGGGAGCTTGCCTTGGGCCAGGCAGCAAGCCGGCTGGACCTGCATCTCTGCGGGCCGCCTACCTGCCTCCATCAGTGGCCGCCATCAAGGTGTCAGCGGAGCTGCTGAGGGCCACCGTGGGGGACAGTTACTCAGGTTGGTGGCGCTGACTGGCTTCCCTCTGGTGTTGAGGCCTGCAGATATGGGGTCGTTCCTTCCAGGATCCACCCAAGCTCATGGCTGGCGCCTCTCCCCTCCAGGCGTGTCCTTATGCTGTGCCACCCTGCAGTGGCTCCTGGCCGAGAATGCTGCTGTGGACATCGTGAGGGCCCGAGCACTGTCCTCTGTGCAGGGAGTGGCCCCAGATGGCACCGACGTCCACCTCATCATCCGCGAGGTAAGCAGAGGGTCGGCTCTCCCGTCTGCGGGGAAACCGGCCTCTACAGCAGCGCTTCTCAGAGCAGGGTCCCTGGGGCCGCAGCATCTCTGGGCCGCTTGAGAGGACTCAGATTCTCGAGGATTCCAAGGCACGCCTCAGTTGGAGGCACAGCTGTATGGGGCAGCCTTGGCCTCAGTCTTAGGTCCCAGTGAGGAATGGCCTGTCCGACACTCCCCACACGTGGGCTCCCACCTCGTGCACTGCTGGAATTCATAGCCGGGTCCCCAGTGCTGCTCCTTGACGGTTTGTACCCCAGGAGCAGCACAGACCGTTGTCAGCATCTGAGGCACTAAACTTCTAGAGCACCAGGGGGCTCTAGGCCTGTCCTAGAAGCCGCTTACAGGGCCCCCCAGCCCCGCCCCCAGCCACTGGGGTCATGTCCAGCAGACCCTGGCTTTGTAATGTTGCAGGCTCTCGCAGAGCATCCCAGGAGGCCAAGACACACATCCCTGAGGGCTGGGTGGGGGCTGCCCCTGCACAGCCCTTTCGGGCCAGGCCGAGACCAGGCCAGCGTGTCTAGGTTGGGGGGTCCCCGGGCCCTGATTCTGGGGCCTGGCCGGGGGGGGGGGCAGTCATTTCCTCCTGGAGTGAGTGCCGTGGTCGGCATGGTGTTCTTCCTGGGCACACACTTCCAAATGAGCAGATTTGCTGCTGGTTGGCTGGCTGTTCTTCAGGGGGGAATTAACATTGAGGGGGAGGAGCAGGTCCGGGAGCCGTTTTGTGCCCAGCTTTGCCCACGCACAGGGTGCAGAGGGGCCGCCCAGGCCAGGGCGTTGCGCAGGGTGCAGAGGGGCCGCCCAGGCCAGGGCATTGGGGCCCTAGGGCTTCACCTGCTCCTTTTGGCTCGGAGGCTCCTGTCGTTCCAGCCACTCTTGGGCTGGGCAGGGCTTTGGACAGGCAGCGAGGTTCCTCATGTGTTGCAGGTGGCGGTGACCGACCTGTGTCCGGCAGGGCCTCTCCAGGCCGTGGAGATCCAGGTGGAGAGCTCCTCTCTGGCCAACATGTGCCAGGCTCACCACGCTATCATCGGGCGTATGCAGGTGTGTCAGTCCGTTCTGGGCTCCGTGGGGAAGTCTGCTGGGTGGTGGGAACATGGGACCATGGTGGTCTGTGGCTACCTGCCACAGGGGTCGCAGGACAACCCCTCCACCTCCTCTCTTGGCTCCCACATGCACGTGTCGTGCAGGTGAGCTGCGGGAGCTAGGAGGCGTGTGGCAGAACTTTGCTGCTTATCCCCCAGTGATAGACACTGCCCTCTGTGTGTTCCATCAGCTCCTAATGCAGCTGTGAAGCCACATGGCCAGTAGATTAAAGGGAGGTGTTTCCAGCTACTACCTCCTATGTTCAGCTGGAGGTTTCTGCACTTGCCTGGCCGAGCAGAGGCCCCACGGAGAGGCTATGCCCTCGGGTCAGACACCCTGGGCGCAGATCCCTGGACAAAGTACGTGCTCGTGTGAGCCTCCATGTCTTTGCCAAGAAAGCAGGAGTTGGTGGCCATCCCCGGCAGCCCTGGGGCCCTTCCGCCACCTGGCTCAGGAGCAGACTGCTGCACTGCCCTCCCGGGGCCGCCTGGGCCACGACTGCCAGATCTGAGAGGGTCCTTGTCTTCCAAATGAAAGTCTGTCAGTTGGTGACCTGAGCAGGACACAGCCCTGCCTTCAGGATCGGGCCGCCTGTCCTCTGCCACCTGTTCTGACCGTGTGGCCTTGGCCTCACAGAGGGGCTGCAGTGGCCGCTGTCAGCCCATTACGATGATTTGTCCCGAGTGTGGTCTGTGCATTGGTCTCTCCTGCACCTTGCTATCAGTGCTCGTTCCCAGGCCCCACCCCGGACCCTGAGAATCAGAGGACCTGAGAGCTGAGCTTTAACAAGGATCTGAGGGCTGTTGTTCAAGACCCACTGGAACTGAGCTGCAATGGGACGCCCTGCACCAGCCTGGGTGGGTGCCACTCGACAGCTGAGATGGGTGACCCTGATGATCATGTCACGTGGCACTGTGACCCCACTGAGACCCTGATGACCATGTCACACAGTGCCGTGACCCTGCTGTGACTCTTATGCTCTGGTTACCCAGCACTGTGACTGTCACCCTGCTGAGATCACAGTGCCATGGTGAGCCTGCTCAGGAATTTAGGCCTGAGCACTTTGAGTCATCAAGGTGGTCTCTGGGGCAGTGGTACCACTTGTCAGGGCTCTGCCCACTAGGGACACCCATTCCCCAGAATGGGTCCCTCTCCCTGCCGAGAGCAGAGCTCCAGCACCTGCATTTCTCTGCCCCAGAGAGGAGCCACGTGCATCATTGGCATGCTCTCCCTGGGCCTGGAGTGTTGGGCCATCTGCAGACTGTGCCAAGTGTGGCGGCCACGAGGTGGACAGTAGCGTGAAGCCGGGGGAAGGAGCGTGCTGAGCGGACTTCCAGCAAGAAGCAGGGGGTGGTTAGTGTCCTGGGGCAGCCGTGACAAAGCAGCACAGATGGGGCACGAACAACAGGAAAGCGGGGCTGGAGGCTGGCAGTCCGCGATCTGGGTGCCAGCAGGGTTGGTTCCTCTGAGGCCTCTCCGTGGCGTGCAGACAGCCGTCACCTCCCTGTGTCCCTATGTGGTCATCCTTCTGTGCATGTCTGTCTCCTAATCTCTTCTCATGAGGACACCAGTCAGATTGGCTTAGGGCCCAGCCACGACCTCACTAGCCTCATCACCAGCAGAGACCTTGTCTGTGAACACAGTAGTGTGCTGAGGTACTGGACTTGGGGCTTCTGCGTGTGAACGCCGGCGGGCACAGCTCAGCCCCTGATAGTGCTGTAGACGCTCCCCGGATGGGGGTCCACGCGGGCCTCACACCTGTCCGTCCTCCATCAGCCAACGCCGAGCTCTGTGTTGTGGGGGTTCCTGTAACAGCATTCGTCACCTGGCCACATGGAACAGTCAGGACCCTGCCAGGTGTGCAGTGTCCACCATGGGCCGGCCCCTCCTGCTGCCCATCAGGGTGTCGGGATCTCTTCTCAGCACTTTGTTCCCAAGGCCAGTGGGGGCCTCGCTGCCTAGAGCTGCCTGGGAGCTTGGGTCTGAGCTCCAGGAGCCGCCGGGCTTCCTCCAGAAAGCGGGATGTGGAGCAGCCTCTGCGTGGGCCGTGCTGAGTGGATCCGCCAGGGGGACAGCTCCGGGGGCCGCCTGAGACGGGGCAGGAGGAGCGGGCACTGAGGCCTGAAGCTAAAGATGGGAGAAGGGGTGGCTCTGTGGGGCCGAGGCGGTGGGGAGCAGAGGGGAAAGGCCTGAAACTTTCTTCCAAGTAAGTCACCATTGGGTTAGGCCCTGCCGTTGGAGTGGGGACACAGCAGAGATGACACAGCGGGGTGAGGTGGGGGGCTGAGATGGAGGCTGCAGGGGAGTGGCAGGGCCATCTGGCTCTGAGGCATGGAGGGTAGGCGGCGGGAAGCGCTTTCTCTCCAGTGACCTGCCCCTTGTGTCCCCCCAGCGGATGGTCGTCGAGCAGGCCGCCCGGGGCTCCAGCCCACCTGACCTCCGTATGCAGTATCTCCACCAGATCCAGGCCAACCACGAGGTGAGGCCCCCATGGGTCCCGTCCCCTGAACCTCCCACCACTGCCTGGGCTCCTCTGGGGACACACGCAAGCACTCGGGTGTCGCCCAGTCCAGCAGGGCCTGCGCTGTCCTCACAGCCAAGTCAGGGGTGTGGGCTCGGCTCCCCTTGTGGGGCCGGTGGGGCAGGGTAGGTGCAGTCACTTCTGTCTGGGCCCACTCCTCCTCCCTGCGCCGCCTTGGCTGGGACCCTTGTCTCACCTGGGGAGGGTGTCTCCCCTCAGCCCAGCAGCTCTCCTGTCTTGAGGGGCCTTCGGGGCCAGGCTGCATGTCCCATGCTGTAGGGTCACAGATAAGTGTTCTTCCTGTACCACCGACCCCTCCCAAGTAGGATTTATGCATGGTTGGCATCCCCCAGAGGAACCCAGTGACATGCCCAGTGGGAAGGTGGCCTGAGCCATTGCCACCTGCCCCCCTGCAGATGCTGCTGCGGGAGGTGCAGACCCTGCGTGACCGGCTGTGCACGGAGGACGAAGGCCACTCCTGCGCCACCGCCGAGAAGCTCCTGCAGCTGTACAGGCAGCTTCGCAGCCCCAGCCTCCTCCTGTTGTGATTCAGGTCGGCCCTGCCCCTTCCAGCCACTCACAGTGCCTTCGTGGTTTTACAGAGAAAAACCTGGAATGTGAGAGACTACTTCTTGCTCATGACCCAGGAGGCACATGTTGGCCTGGTCACAGCCAGGGAAAGTTAGGGGGCAGGATGGGGTTGGCCAGTGCACAGCGTAATGCAGGGTACCTGGTCCCCTGCATGGCCACTTGGCTGCCCTCATGCATGTGTGTGCTCGGCGGAAGTGAAGTGTGAAGTGAGTTGTCCCAGGGCAGCCTGGGTGGCATCTGAGCCCCCTGAGCACCAGGCTCTGCCCTCACTCATCCTTGTTCCCCCTTCCCCAGTTCCTGTCTTCTGTTCACATCACTCCTTTCCTTTCCTCCAACAGCTGCCCACAGCCTCCTCACACGACCTGGTGGTCACTGCTGGGCAGTCTCCCACCCGGAGTGCTGGGCTGGATCAGCGACATCCCCTCTGCTCAGAAGTCAGGCCCAGGACACAGACCCTGGACCCCAAAGCAGGAGCGTTGTTGCCTGAGCGGCCTGCAGAGGCCATGGAGGAACAGGGTTTCTGGAGTTAGGACTTGGGGCGGGTTTGTATCCATTCCCACCCCTCTGCCCCGAGCGCGGGGCTGCCCCTTCTAGCGACACGCCCCTCCCCCCCGAACCTCCCATCCAGCTCAGGGCACCTTGCCCTGCCACTCTGCAGCAGCTGGGGCCACCAGGTGTGAGGGCGCCTCCTGTGACTGAAGCACAAAAATGGCCGGGGGGCGGGTGGGGGGAGCTCACGGAAGTGCCCAGTGGCCTCCGGTGGCCTGTGGCCAGAACACTCAACAACTAGGTGCCTCCAGCTATGGCTGCACCCAGCACCAAGCACTGCATTGTTGCCAGGGCCCCTCAGGGTGGGCGCAGCCCCACAGCCCTCCCTCAGCCTGGGCAGCAGCCTGGCTCAGCTCTGGTGCTGGCGTTCTCGGCATCTGGGGAGGTGACAGTGCTCTCCTGTGGTGCGTGCGGGATCCCCCTGTGAGGCCCCCCACCCACATTGACCCTTTGTGCTGAACTGCTTCGTCTTCTGGTTTTTTACTCCTCCCTCAGTCCGGTGGCACCTTTGACCTGGATTCCTGGGTGCCCCCAGCTCTTTAGCGCCTGAATGAGCCCTGCACTGGCCTCTCCGTGGCCTTGGGGCCAGTAGGGAGTCCCCAGCACTGGGGCCAAGCCCACAAATGAAGTGGTCGCTGCAGCAGCCATCCTGCCGATCAGGGCACGAGAGTCCCTCCCAGGGAGGACCAAGGTCACCTCCTTGTCACCCTCCACAGAGGGAGGGGGGCTGGCAGGTGCTTCAAATCAGTCTGGGAGAGTGGGTGGTCGCCACACAGACCCCACGATGGAGGGTTCTCCAGGGCGGGAGCGAGGGTGGGAGGGAGGCCCCCTAGTATTGCCCCCTGTGTGCTAGGAGCAGCCGTGGCAGCTTCCTTCAAGCAAGGGGGCTCACCTCCAGCCTCTGCTGGCTCACGGTGGTCCTTCTGCAGCCTAGAGCACTGCTGTGGCCCGGCCTGGCCCAGGGAGGGCCTGTACCCCCTTAGCAGCCCTGTTTCCAGCTGTTTTCCAAGGGTCGTCTTCCTGTCGCCTGAGTGCCACGGGGAGAATGGAGTGGCCAGGCCAGCCCACAGAGGCCCCAGAATAGACCGTTCTTTGTGAGTGGACAGAGGACAGCACTCTCAGGGCCTGTGTCTGCCCACCTTGGAGAAAGAGCCTTGCCCCACAGCCCCCGACTCGCCACACAGGCTGCAGGGAGCCCAGAGCTGACAGATCTGGGTCTTGGTCACCTGCAGGGCTTACCTACCCAGAGGCCAGCCAGCCGCCCCAGGTCATGGAAGCTGCAGGAGACTGATGGGGATGCCACCTGCCCCCTGCGATGCTCCCCAACCAGGTCTCGGCCCAGAGCAGTGACACTGTCCAACTCGGTGAGCCTCAGCTGTGTAGGGGGCGGTGGGCACCAACGTGGTGTGTGAAAGAGCAGCATTGGGACCATCTCCCCAGGCACTGGGTGCTCGATTGGTCGCCCTTGGTCCCCACCGTGCAGCTCCTGACACAGGCTCACGTGGTGGCCCCACAGCTAAGACAGCGTCCCTGGCCCACCTGGGCCTCTGCTGGCTCATTCAGGGATAACCCTCTCGAGGCGTTGGTGCTGGTCTGTCTGAAAAAAACGAGGCCTTTGAGGTACGGAGCAGGGGCAGTGGTGGGAGGGCCACTCCTCCTGCCTGCTGGCCAGAGGCCCCTGCGTGGTGTGGGCACGGTGGCAGCAATTCAAGGCAGACTGCCACGTTAAGGGTGCACGTCGTAATCTCCAGAAAAGGAGAAAAACTACATGAACACCTAAAAAGCCAAGAGGAGGTAAAATGGCGTAACGAGAAAAAGGTGATAAATCAGAGAGGAGGCAGAAAGGAAGGACAGGACAAACAGCAAAGAAGCTGCAGGGTGACAGGCTCACCCCGGCCGTGACACTTCACTCTGCCGCCTGCGCGAACCTGCCCGAAGCCCACAGACCAAGGGGCAGGGTGGAGGCCTGAGGCCACACAGTGGGCGGCAGGCAGCAGATCCACAGGGAGCTGCTTGGGGAGCCACCTGGACCACAACCAAGACCTAGGAGCCCTCACCTGCTTGGATGTCCTTCTGAGTGCCCCCCCAGCCACTCAGTGTGCGGTCTTCCCGCAGAGCAGGATGAGCACCACGCCGGACACGGGGCGTCCCTTTGCTGATCCCTGCTGTGGGAGGCCCCAGGCTGGCCCTCATGGGCCATCTACACTGAGTTCTGTGTCCCCTGCATGCAGCTCCCACCCGCCTTAGCCTCAGTGTGTCCCTCTCCTCTGTCCAGTCCTGGCCTTTATTCCCCACCCCAGCTGGCCTCTCCTGGGGACCCCTAGACGCTCTCCCGTGCCTCCCCTCTGCAGCCGCTGCCCCAGCCTGTGCAAGCTCCACTCAGCAAGTGTCTGAGGCCACATGCACTGTCTGGCTGAGGTCAGCAAGAGGGAGACCCCTTCTCAACACCCTGCAGCGTCAGGGGAGCTCCAAAGGGCACGGGTGGGAGCGACTTGTGTGATTCCAGGCCTGGTGCCCAGCAGGTGGGCCACCAGCCCTCCTGCCCCAGACGCCACCAGGGGGCAGTGCACGCCGAGGCTGAGGCAGCCACCTGTCTTCCAGGGGCCGGTTGGACTTTGGCATCTGGTTCTTGCAGGTTTAACAAGCTGGCCTTGGACCAGCCAGCCCCCTCAGTCTCAGCCCTTCTTTGTCCCTAAGGGGAGAGGAGAGCAGCGAGGCCAGGAGCAGGCTGGGGGGGACCCAGTTGGTCCTCCCTGCCCCCAGGATGCCTCTCAGCCCCCTCCTCTCCTCCCTGGCCTTGCAGGTCTGCTCTCCCCTGGGATCGCTGTGCCCCTCTCCCTGCCTCCCTCCTTTCTCAAAGCACCCCAGCCCCAGCTGACCCTCTCCTCCGCCCACGCTGGCCACACTCAGGCAGGCCTGCTTCAAGCAGGTGCTGCCTGGGGTTGGGAGAGGGGGTGGGTGTGGGGAAGGGTGGCAAGGGCATCTGCATTCATGGTCGCACCCTCCCTCCAGGCTCTAGGCCTTCCTCAGGCTGTCTCCCACCTCTGATGGCCCAGGTCACCTAGCATGTCCAAGAGGCATTGGCCTGGGTGGGGGTCCTTGGGGGCTGAGGAATTCTAGGTGCTGGGTGGTGGGGAGACGTGGGTGAACCATAGGTTTGTCTCATCTTCCACCCAGGCCATAGGGCCACCAGCCTGCTTTGGGCAAGGCGAGTGAGGACTCTCCTCATCTGTTGGGGGTTGGGGGGGCAGGCAGGGGAGTGCCTTGGCCTGAGAGCCACATGTGGGTTGAGGCTGGGGGTGGGAGGCCTGGAGCCCCCTTCCTGGGCTAAGAGGGGTTCTATTTGGGAGGGGTGGGGGGGTCACTTCTCCATCAGGTGTTTCCCAGATCCTCTAGGACTCTGTTCCTGGGAAAGAGAGCAGTGAGATGCTCCACGGAGACGTGCTCCCCCCAAAGACCCTCTAACAGGCCTGACTTGCCAGGGCCACAGACCGGGCTTCTAGCTGTCCCACCTAACTCCTGGTCCCGCTGAGTGGAGCAGGGGTCTTCTCCCTCGGTTTTGGGGAGGAGGTGTATGGCAAGGCATGGGGGGGGGGGCCCGGAAAGGGGAGTGCAGGGCAGAACAAGAGGCGGCTCAGGGCTGTGGCTGTCCAGGATTGGGGGAGGGGAGCACTCAATTGGCTCAACCCTTCCCCCAGACAAGCCCCCCTCCTTGATTTTCCGGGCATGAGGATGGAGAGGTTGACCACCACAGGAACTCTAGGGCAGAAGAGGCCCGGCCTGTGGCCGGAGATGCAGACCCTCCGCACACACCCTGCCCCGCTCCGATCGGTGCCATCGAGCCGCTGCGTCACTGACACGGTTTAATGGGGGACAGGCGGGCCCGGTGCTCAGTACTCCCAGAGCGCGACCCCCGCCGGCGCGTCCGCGTCCGCGCGCAGCAGCCCCGAGGCGCCGCCGCGCAGATACTTGCCGCTCCGGGTGCGGATGGCCAGGCGGCCGCGCTCACGGAACTCGAAGAGGAAGTCCTCGGCGCGCTGGCCGTCGCTGCACACGCTGCCGTGGCTGCCGGTGTGCCAGAACCCGCCGCCGCGGCCTGGGGGTGGGGAGGGGTCGGCGGGGCCCGCTCGCTCCCCCGCCCTGCCCTGCCGTGCCTCCATCCCGCCCTGTGCAGCCACCCGCCCCGCCCCACTCATTCCACGGCCCCACGCCCCCTGCGGTCCGCCCCATCCGCACCTCGGATCTGGTAGGCGCCATCGCTGAAGCTCAGGTGGAAGACGTCGTAGACGGAGCGGTTGGTGTCCAGCTGGTTGGAGCCGCGGCGCTGGCAGACGAAGCCGTCCAGGCCGCGCAGCACGAGGATGGGCCGGTTGATCAGCTTGAGGATGAACTCCTCGTCCTCGCCTGGTGGGAGAGCGGGCTGAGGGGCGGTAGGGCGTGGGGGCATACCCGGGGCTCCCCTGGAAGAGTTGCAGGCTCCGACGCCCAGCTTGTGGGCCAGATCTACCATTGTCACTGCCTTAGGTCACCTTGACAAGTGGCCTGCTGCCACTGAACCCCGGGTTCCCCAAGTGTGCAGCGGAGGTCTGGGCACTCTGGGATTTAATGGCTCCCCCCACGTCCAGAACGATTATCTTGACCAGCAAGTATGACTATTGCCAGGGGCAGCAGCAGGTCCGTGGGGAGCCGGAAGGATCAGCTCTTGGTGGAGACAGGATCTCTGAGCAGGTGCTGTCCCTGGGCAGGGAGCCCAGTCCCAGTTCCCCCAGGGCAGGTGGGGAGTGCTCACCCACAAAATCACTGATGGCCGCCAGCTGCCCATTCTTCTTCATGCACACATAGCGTCCGTTACTGGCCTTGAGGGCCACCCGCCGGCCACGCCACTCCATCTCAAACATGGTGTTGGCAGAACTGGAGGGGGCGGGGCAAGGTACTCTCAGAGCAGCAGGACATGGAGGCTCAGGGTCAGGCCTCCCCATCCCCTTCTGGTCCAGTACCACCCCCACGGGGAGGGACAGACCCTTGCCTTCCACTGACACACCCACCACTATTAAGAACTGCCCCTCACCCCTGTGGGCATTCTTCCCTGGCTGGGCTGCAACCACGGTCTTCGTGGTTGAGGTGGAGGTGGGGTGGTGGTAGAGGTGGTGGTGGTTATGGAGGTGATGGTGATGGTAGTGGAGGTGGAGATGGAGGTGGTAGTGATGATGGTAATGGTGGTGATGGTGCTGCTGGAGATGGAAGTGGTAGTGGAGGTGGGGGTGGTGCACTCACACTTGTGTGGCTGTGGCCTGGATGCCCCCGTGGGTGACCAGGGTCCAGTAGCCCCCAGTGCTAGAATAGAAGGTGCACTTCTTTGTCTCTTGGTCAATTTGCATCAGGAAGGTCTCATGATCCAGTTCTTCATCTTGGTTGGCTGAGACGTTGACCCCTGGAGGAGGAGATGGGAAGCCCCTCACGCCTCTCCCTGAGTGGGATGGGGAGCAGAGGGGTGGGGAAGCATGCTCTTGGGGCAACCCTGAAACCAGAGGGGGTCTCATCTAGAACCCTCTGGACTTTGGAGGGCACCTCTCAGAGGGTCGAGGAGCCCTGCCCCTAGGGCCATGTAGCCACATTGGGGACCCTCCACACTGCTCCCTAAAGGTCCTTGACCCAGCTGCTACCATAGCCCCAGGAGCCAGTCCGTTCCGTGCTGGCAAATCCCCCGCCTCTGCTAATCGTCAGGTAATCTGCTTGCTCCCGCTCTCTCGACCCAGGACTTAGACCAGCCTCTCTTTATACCCGCCCCTAAGCCACTGGGCGGGCACAGTAAGATCTCTGTTCTTCCCCATGCCATGGCCCAGGACACAGCCGGGGCCTGGGGCCCACTCCCGGGCACTGGGCAGGAGCTGGCCCCCTATTACCTCCCCAGCCCCTCATGCACATATGTGTGGTCTCCCAGAAGCCCTGGGGAGGGCAAGGATACCCGGGGCTCAGCCTGGGGTTCTTGGGAGGGCAATGGAAGGGACATCCATGCCCAGGGTGGGGGGCAGCCGACAGGCACTAGAGCCTCCCCCAGTTTCTTCCCGTAAACCCTGTCCCTGTTTCCATGGCAAGTGGCCACTCCAACTGATGTGGCAGATCACAGACCTCTCCACAAGGCCACTCTGTCCAGCTAGGGGAGCAGGAGGGATGGGGGCAGAGCCCCATCAGGGGCTGAGGGTCGGGGCCAGATCCTGTCCAACCTTCGAGAAGGAAGGACGGGCACCAGGCAGGGCCTGTCATGGACAGGGCGGGACCTCTCACCCTTCACCAGCTCCCGAAGGCTGCTGCTCACAAAACCGCCCCAGGCTGGGCTCTGTCTCCCCCTCACACGGGCCACTGCTCAGAGGGAAGGCAGCAGCCTGGCATTTTCACCGCCATCCTCACCATCTGTCAGCAGTACTGAGCTAAGTGAGCTGCTGCTGCTGTGGGACCGCCATGAGCAGTCACAAAACAGTCCTTGGCTCGCTGGCACTTATAGTCTGTGGGGAGCGATAGACAACAAGAACCGTGTCCAGCACCCAGGGATGCTGTGGGCCTTGGCCAAGGACAGCCTCACAGACAAGGTGACGTTGAAGCAGACCTGAGGAGGTGAGGGAGCCATCCCTAAAGGTACTGAGGGAGGAGCGAGGCCAGGGGCTGTGCGCCTCGACTGCCATCTCTGAGGCCAACCTTGTTGGTGTCCCCAGCGTTGCCCCCGTGCACCTCCTCCAGACAGGATGTGGCCCAGGGGCTCCATCTCACACAGTCATCTGCTTCTAGGGCCCTGACCTCAAGGTGGGAGAGGCACAGGGAGTCCTGGTTAGGGCAAGCAAAGAGCACACATCCACTTCCCTGGGAGGCATTGGTTGATCGGTGGAGGTGTGAAGAAGAAAGGGTGTCTGTGGCATTTACGCGAGAAATTTTCTTACTCCTGAAAAGACACAAGAAGAGGCAGTGCTCCTCTTTCCTCTGGACTTTGTGCTGTGTAGATGTGAGGGCTGGAACAGCAGCAGCCATCTTGTGACCACAAGACGCCAGCCTGAACTCAGAGCTGTCCCAGGAGAGTGGTTCCACGAGAAGGAAAGAGTGGAGGACTTTAGTGACACTGCTGAGCTGGTGATGGTGCCCTGCCTGGGACCCCACCACCCCGTGCCTCCAGATTCCTCTTTATACGAGGTAATCAATGTCTTCATGGCTTGAGCCAGTTTGCAGCCATTTTTCTGTTACTTGCAGCAACAGACGGTGACTGCTGTGCTGCTGTCAGCACCACCGCGTCAGCAAGGCTGGCAACAGGTGTGGCAGAAACAAGCAGCACAAAGAAAGACATTGGGAGGAGAAAACAGGTAAGCTTCAGTGCTCGCAGACACCCCAGGGCAAGAAGACAAGTTTGGGTTTGGAGGCTGCTTGGCCAGGAAGATGACCTGGATCAAGGTACCACCACTCGGGCTGCCTTGGGATCTAGGGGCACCACTCCCTCCTCCCCGAGGAACGAGATGCAGCATCCTGCTTCTTCGCATCACTGGTTGTCAAGCCAACATCTGAACATCTGTGGCGCTGGGTCATACACCGTCAGCCTTATTGCAGGGGAAGTGGGGAGGCGAACGGGGCTACCTCCAGCTTCTACCGTGGGAGGCGGATTTGGTCCTTAGTGGGAGATTCCCCATCAAAGAGATGGGGTCAGTTGCAGGGTGATCCAGAGAATGAAAATGGTCCATATAGCCACTGTCCCTCACCACCACAGCCATCTCCATCACCAAAACCACCACCATCATCACCATCGTCGACACCACCACTGTCACCAGCAGAACCACTAGCACCATCTCTGTGGTTACCATCTGCTCCACCACCACCCTTACAGCCACAGACCACACTGCCACCACAAGTCTCGCTCGCTAGCTGCACACGTACAGAGACCTCTGTGTGCAGCATCTCCTTTGACTCTCACAGAGGAAGCTCTTCCACACCGTTGCCCACATTTTACTGACACACCAACCATATGGGCCTGGGCCCATGGTCCACCCACCTGCACTGTGTACCGCCACAGGTGTCCCCACCCCCAAGGACAGAATGCCTCATCCCCGTGTGACCTGCACACTGAGGTCAGCATGGCCGGCCCCGCGGCGGCCCGTTACCTTGCCTCACAGACACATAGCGGTGGTTGGCAGCCACTAGCACCACCTGCGGGGGACTCTCCTCCAAGTCGAAAAGCTCGTCCTTGCCGGGCCGTGTGTTGCGTCCAGCCCTGAGCGTGCCAGCGGGCCCCACAGGCGCCAGGTATCGGCCATCGCAGTCCTTGAAGGCCAGCTTGCCTGCCTTGAACTCGAGCGTGTAGCGTGCGCGGGCCTCAGGCTCCCAGACGAGGCGGCCGTCGCTGCGCAGGTAGCGGCTGTCGCAGGACTTGAGGCAGTACTGCCGGTTCTGGAAGATGAGGGTGATGAGCGCGTCCACGCCCCACGGCGTGTTGCTGTCTGCCGCGATCTCGTCCTCCTGTGGGCACAGGTGCGCGTAGCGCCGCCGGCTCACGCTCCGCAGGTGAGCTTGCGGGTGGATGGCCAGGTGCACGGTCCACAGCTCGGCCGGGGAGATGGCCGTGGCAAAGCACGACAGCTGGTCTTCGGTGCCCCCGAAGAAGCGGCCGTGCGGCTCCGACTGCAGTACCCAGCGCCCGTCCGGCTGTGGCAGGACCAGGAAGCGGCAGTCTCGGCTCGGTTGCTCTGCCTCGCAGGCCACGCGACCGTCCTCCTCGGCCGACAGGTAGCGGCCCAGGTGGCTGCTGCGGAACAGCACGGCAGTGCCCTGCCCTGGGTCAGGCTCCAGCACCCACATCTGCTTCCTCTTGAGGCTGGGTGCCGAGGCGTTGACCTTGAAGCCAAAGCTCTCCGCTGTCAGGTAGCGGTCAGCGTCATTGACAAGGCCAAACTGGATCTTCAACACCTGGTGCAGGCCATTGGTGGGCATCTTCAGGACTGGCCCAGGTCCCCAAAGGGGCCTGGGAAGCTCTCTCTGAGTGCTCACGGCCCCCGAGGTCCCCCGGAGGCCCAGTGTGACTGGGCTGGCCCTCGGCCCCCAAGCCTGGCTGGCGTCATGGACCCGCTGCCTGCTCGCACGCCACCTCTGACCAGTGGCCGTGGGCCCAGGCAGCTCTTACATGGCTAGCGGGCAGCAGAGGGCGGGTGGGAGGGCGGATCAGAGCTGTGTCGGCTTAAGAACGGCGGCTGCCTTTCATTACCCCAGCTTGGATTTCAGCCACTCCCGAACCGCACCAGGGGCCGGAGCCCAGGGCCTGCAGGGCTGGAGAGCACCGCGCGCGGCGGGGCTGACCACGTCCTTGCCCTTGCCCTTGCCCGCGGCTGCCTGGGCCCACGGCTCGGGCCCTGTGGCCTGCTTTGTGGCTCCTGCACCTCTTAGCTTCTGTCCTTTCCGCCCCCGACCTCAGGGCCCCCAAACCCACCGCATGGACTCGCCAGCCCAACCCAGCTCTTTCCCAAGGCAGAAAAAGCTGCTGGTGGAAAACTCGCAGTGTGGCTGCAACCCGATCACAGCCCTCCGCCCTGGAGGCCGCCCGATCCTCAGCCAGATCCAGTTACTGCTTCTCTGATTCCTGCTGCCAGGAGCACGGCAAGGCCCCCCACTCTTCCGCCCAAGTCGTGTGCCGTCCCCTTGGCCGCCGCCTCTCGCCCTGGGCCTGATTCTTCCCCGAGAGTGGTCTGAGTGGGGAAAGCGGCAGGAGGGGGCGTTGGTGCCAGCGAGTGGGCCAAGTGCCCAGGGGCCCCCATCCTGGCACCCGTGGCACCCGGCTGCACGGCAGGGTGCAGGAGGTGTGGAGAGGCTGCTGCCCAGCCGTGTCCACACTGGGCCCGGCAGCCTGGCTGTGCTGGCCCCAGGGAAAGGGCCCCTGGTTTGGGCCGAAATGGCAGTTGTACGATGGAGACAGTAACACCCGCCTCAAGGGTTGCTCTGTGGGAGGGTGACATGAGAGCAGGAGTGTGAAGCAGATGTCATCCGGGTGGCACCTAATGGGGCCCCTCTTCTGTCCCTTCTTCTATGGGTGGGCACTGCTGGCTGGCCGTGTGGACCCCTGAACTGCTGTTCACATCACTGGAGTGACTGGCCTGACTTGGGGTCTTTGTGGGGTCGGCTCCAGGGGGCCGTGTAGGGCAAAGCCCTCTGTAAGAGGGATGAGACCAGCAGGCTAGAAGAGGCCAGAAGCAGGTGACCCCTGACCCCTGGCACCTCCCAGCCCCAGCTGCTCTGGCTGTCTGGCTGCACCCCTTCCCCACTGAGCCTGAGGGGCCGTCTTTGGGAACCTGCAGTGGGCCCGCTCAGCTGCACCCTGCCTGTCTGTCTCCTGCACCTGCCTCAGGGGCTGGGAGCCAACTAGTGAAACCACAGCTGCCCATCCTGGGCCGGGGCCAGCCTCGGTGTCCTCTTCCTCGTCGCAGCGTGTGGCCCTCAGGCATCCTTGGGACCCAGGGCCAGGAGCCACGGGGCACTTCCAGCCGTGGCCTCCAGAGTCATGCCCCCTCCTCATGGGCCCTCGGGGCTCCGGGCAGCACCCTCCATCCTTCTCGAGGTCGTGATGGGGGCCCCACGCTGTGGGGGTCCAGCAGAGTAAAGGGCCTTGGACTGGGCATGTGTGGGCCCCAGGGGCAGGCAGGGCAGGTGGGCACAGGGGTCCATGGTCAGGGGATGCACTTGGGGTCAGAAGTCCTTCCTCCAGTCTCCAAGTCCTGGGTGGTGACCTCGCCAAGCACGTGCAGACACTGAGAACGGGGACCTGTTCCCTCACTTGGGGCATGAGCAAGGTGCGGGAGAGACCCGAGCACAATCCCGGGGACAGCGCGCTGTGTGCCGCAGCTCAGCTGGGCCAGGTGCCGGCAGGCTCTCTGGGGGCCAGCGCCATCCATCTCCGTGACCCATGTGCATTCTCGGGACGCCGACCGTGTGCCCACCGGGCTTCCTGACCCACGGGAGGAAGACGCTATCTGGGGTTGCACCCTGCCTCAGGGGTGATGCCCACACAGCATCCCCCAAGTTCCCAGGGCACCGGGGACCCAGGTCTAGCCTCAATGCTGGGGAGATGGCCCTGGTTTGGGGGTACAAGCCGTGGTGCTGCCTGTACCTCAGTTCACCCATGTGTGGGGGCCCGAGGGCAGCTGTGCACGTGCTACCCCCAGGTGTGGGCACTGGCCTCTCCACACCCCCTCCTCCCAGCCAGGCTTCAGAGGAGCCCAAGACGTCCCAATTAGCATGACAGCCTCATTAGCACAGCCGCACTGGCAGGCGCTCATGGGCATCACGTGCCCGGCGGGAGGAGGCCCGGCCGCCAGGCGCTAAGTGGGCCTGTCTCCAGGCAGCCGCTTGGCAGCAGAGCCAGCAGCGGCTGTGGCCTCTCAATTCTGGGGGCCCACAGCCCCAGGTGGGGGTGGGGTGGGGCTGCCTGGCAGTGACTCAGGGGTGTGAGCCACGGGGTGGCCTTTTGGGCCTCTGGGGGACTCTAAGAGGTGGGCCTCCCAGCCTAGATGTTCTTGGAGCAGGTCGTTTGCACGGATCCCCCGCTCAGGAACCAAGGACCTGAGGCCCTTGCCCACCTGCCTGCTGGGGTCATGGTTCTTTTCTGGATACTCCACATGTTCTGGCACACAGTAGGTACTTAATAAGTGCCTGTGACTGTTTGATGTGGAGGTTCCTGTGTGATGGACTGAGCCTGTGCAGATAGATGCAGCAGTATGTACACAGCCTGGGCATATGTGTGAAAATACACATGGATGGGGACTGGGCAGAGGGATCTATAGCCACCTGCTGGGCCAGCCCTGGCCCTAGAGATGCTGCCCTGGATCCCAGCCTCAGAGCTCACTCATGGCTGTCAGGCAGGGTGATCAGGCTATGCACTGCACAAGAGAATCTGTTTCACGGGCACCACTCATATCCCAGATGTACACTACTCATAAGACCCTGTGGTAGGCTGGATGCTCCAGCCCCACAGCAGCATCCTCAGGCAATGGGGACCACCCCTCTCATGGAACCCCGTAGAACCCTGTGGCCATGTCCCCTGCCAGAAGGTGCCCACGCAGCCATACACTTGGGACACACAAACATGCCCATCACTGTGTCCTGTGCATCCAGAGCCTGCACTCTGGGGTGTCCAAAGTCACTGCCACTCTGGGAGCCCAATTCGCCTGACCACACTCACCTCTGAACCTGAAGCCATCCCCTCCCTGGGCAGTGGGTATCTGGTGTGTGCCCACTGCCCAGGGGTGCCGTCTGCGATCACTGGACCAGGCCTGGGCACAGATGTCAGGCTGCCCAATTGCACCACCTTGAACATGTTTGATTTGGGGAGGGGCACCTTTTCCTGATGGGCACCAAGAGGCCATTTAGGTGAGTGGCACCCCTGGCCCCTACTTTAGGGAGTGGCCTTCTGCAGCTGGACACGGCGGGATGGACCCTGCTGGCTGCACCTGGGCCTGGAAGGCAGGTTGGGCGATGTTGAAAGCCCTCAGCAGACAAGGCAGGGGCCAGCCCCTCTCGGTGAGTGTCCAGCTGGGGCCAGGAGCACAGGGCCTTGAAGCCCCCCAGGACCCTGGCGTCCACCCTGGAGCCCTCAGGAAACTGTTCCTTTCCAGAGAAGCTGGGGGATGGACGAGCCTGGCCACTTGGAGGGTCCCCACCCTCCCCGCTTCACCCAGTCAGGCCCCTCTGGGGCTACCAGGGAAACAACCCTCGCCCCCGTATGTCTAGACTGCTGGCCCTGGATGCAAGGGTCCCGCCTGGGCTCCTGCCAGCACGCTGCCTGCTGCCATGGTGACCAGCATGTGCGCCAGGCTGGGCGCCTGGGCAACACCGATGCTGGTGGCGTGAGCTGGCACAGGCTGCGTGTGTGCAGGCTGGGGGAGAGATGGCTCCCCCCCTCAGCTGGCCTGGAGCCCGGAAGCGGGAAATGGCCCAGGACAGGCCAGGGCAGCTCCCCTGGCTGAGGGACCTCCACAGGCCACACCTTTCGAGACCCAGGTCTCGGTCCCCTGCTCTGAGCAGTGCCTGGCGCACCCTCCCTGCAGGGCAGCAAGGCTCCAGGAGTCACTTCACGCAGAGGGGATCCCCAACGCCTCACCCCACTTTCCAGAGCCCCCGCCTCAGCCCCAGCCCTGGCCTGCTGCTGCTCTTGCTGGCATTCCTGTCCCCCACCGCCCTGGGTACTCTGCCCCTCGCATGCCCAGGCCAGGCTGGCCAGCCCCTACCAGGGCCTCTGCTGTCCCCCTTCGGCCCTCTGCCCCCGGGGGGTCCTCGTCCCATGAGGTGAGGGCCACTCTGCCGGCCTGGACACTGCTGGGCATGGCCCAAGGCCCTGATTTCCTCATTCCTGGGCCTGCCACCTGCTCCAGGGGGCCAGCTTGGCAGGTGCCCAGAGCCCAGCCTCCCACATTGTTCCTGAAAACAGGCCCATGGCTTGGTTGCCTCATGATTTTTTCATGGCGAGCTCTCTGCTGCTCTGCAGTTCCACTTACACGGGCAGGCGGGGCCCACGCTTCTCTTACTCCGGCCTGGGTTGGTTTACTGGAGGCCTGCAGGTTTAGGGTGACAGCTCCCTGCTCAGGGCAGGAGGGAGCAGGCGGTGCTGGGATGAAGAGTGAGGAGGGGGCTGGCGCATGGCCGACTGTGTTATGTGGCCACACACTGGGGCTGCCCAGCCTGTGCCTCCCACCTGCTCCGTGGAAAACGCACCCCACCCCCATCTCCTGAGACCCCTGCCCTCCCCACCCCATCCCCCACCTTTACCTTCCCCCCACCCTCCTCCACCCCCACCCCATCCCTCGTGACCCGCCTATCCCCCATCAGGGCACGGCAGCTCCTTGAGATCCTCTCCTGCTGCTGCCCACTTCAAGCCGAGAGCTGCTGGCTGGGCTGGGGAAGCCCCTGCTTGGGGCTGTCAGGGTCGAAAGCTGGTGTGTCTCCTGGCTTTTGCCTCTTGTAAAACCATAAGGTTTGGGGGGGCGGGTATGTCTGGCAGGGGTGAGGAGAGACAGCACTTTGCAGAGAGGAGCGACAGGCCAGAAACCTCTGGGTGCCAGGAAGGCCGAGATTCCCTGAAGGGACCACAAGGACAGGACCAAGGGCACCTCAGCAAGCCCAGA